GACTCAGCCAAATGTCTGAGACAGAAAGGTCAAATTTAACAAATTGAAAATCTGTCATCTACACAGTATCACAGTAAGTGATCCCAACATTCTCTTCATGCTGGAACATCTGAAAGGCCACTCAACTCAGCCATTTGGCCTTATCATAGTTATAACAGTAGCAGTACATACTGGTTTGGCTGCCGTGTGCAGATGTGATGTTGCCTAATGAATGCTCAAGTGAGTTTGTGTGAATGCTCAGATGCATGGAAAATTACAGGGAGCATTGGTAAGGGCCATATTGTGTCGTTTCAGTCACCAAGCCGAGTTATTGTCAATGCATGCAAACAAGCATCAGGTGGACTAACAGATGAATGGATGATTGCTGACCAATATTTAATGGAGAAGAGCCATGAGAAGCATATGGGGAAAGAGGAGGGGCTCAGACGGAGGATGCAATCAAAAGGGGGAAGGAAGAAGAGAGGTATTAAAGCCATCCAAGAATAAATAGATGATGACCATTAAATTAACGAGATAAGAAGTCTTTGATTGTAAAACAGCAATTGGTGGACACATTTGGAGGAGTGGGTGTACAAGCAAGGATGTCTTAGAGATGGAGGGCAGTTGATTGGAGAAGACAGTTTTATAGAGGGGGAAGAGTGAAAGAATGACGAGTGCAGGGGGGGAGGAAACAGATGGAAGCAGAGATGACCAAATGAAGGGCATTCTGCAAAATAAAACAGAAGGAATGGCAGGCGGTAGGACATGATAAGAGGAGGATGATGGAGCATCAGCTGCTGTTTTTCCTTTAAACAGCCTAGATAAGCTGCAAAGTGGAAGTAGTACCGTACGTATTTTCTGCACTATAAGGCACACCTAAAAGCATTCAATTTTCTCATAAGCCGACAGTGCGCTTTATAATCAATCCGATGCGCCTTTTATATGGGTCAATATCCTGATTTCTTGGACGTAGTATTTTAAATCTGTAAAGCGCTTTGTTACAGCTGCAGCGGTTGTGAAAGCGCTATAGAAATAAATCTGTATTGTATTCCCTTTAGCATAGCTCCATCTAGTGGATGCATAATGCAACCTCAGCCACTATTGTAGCTTCTCTTCTACGCGCCTTATAATGCGGTTCGCCTTATATATGGAAACACTTTTAAAATTCATTGAAAGCAGAAGCACCTTATATTGCGGAAAATACGTTAAATAAAATCTCAACACATAATCATACGATGCATGCAACAGAATAAAGGTCTAGGGTTGGGGGACTTGAAGACAGTAATTGGAGGATGTTTTGAAACACACCAATTTTTAACATTTACAGTCACAAAAAAATATCAATTTTGCAGAAGAAATTATGTTTTAGTTATTTTGCATCTGTAGAAAATTCATAATCAAGCCTCAATCTCCAATCAGAAACTTCAAACCTGACGCCATGGTACTCACTGGTAAAGTACATATCTTGGGGTCTCGTTCATGATTGGGATAAGAATGGAGCGCGAATTGCACAGAAAGATTGGTGAAGTGCCCGCAGTTATGCAGACACTGTATCAATCTGTGATGGTGAAGGAGGAGCTCTTCATTAACTGGTTGATGTATGTTGCCTCCCTTACCCGTGGTCATGAGATATGGGGCCTGATAGAAATAACAAGATCAAAGACACAAGTGGACAAAGTGATTTCGCTTCCTTAGAGATACCGTGAAGAGCTCAGTCATCCGCAAGGGTTAGGTTAGAGCCGCTGCCCTACAGTATTGAGAAAAGTCAGATAAGGTGGTTCTGCCATCCCATCAGGGGGGCCTCCAAGATGCCACCCTTGTTATGTGTTTCAGGCACATGCCACTGGGAGGAGGCTCTAGGCCTAGGCATGAAGTGCCGGACAAAGTGGCTAGGCAGAAGTAGGTGTAGGTTGGAAGAATGGATTTCAATGAAGAAGCACATAGTCAGAGGAGTCAGATAACGAAGATGGAACACAGGCAGAGGCGGAGGGAAGTGTTCAGACGGAAGTCCAGGGGCAAGAGAGAGGTCAGTGTCAACTGTTGTCTGGCCGTCTCCTCAAGACCTATCATAACCCATCCTATCAATTCAAGACAGTGCATCACAAAAACACCATATCCATGAAAAGATGCGCAAGCAGACAGTTATGTCAACAAGCTACTGGGAGAACATGCCCTCAGCGGTTATGAAATGGAGAAATAGTATGAAGTAAACCGTTTTAAATGAGAGGAACTCTCGCAAAGTGTTTGTGTGTGGGTGTGCATACAAATGTTGAGTACGGTACATGTTTTGAACTGTGATCCGCTCACAATTTGCTGAGGTTAGGGACTTTGAGAACTTTGCCATGAGGAGCTTTTTAACCACCTCGGTGAATTAAGGAGAGAACAGACGAGAGGAGTAGAGACGTCCCCATTAATTTTGACTGAATTATTACTGAGGAAATTTTATTTTAAAGTCCAGAAGTGTAGCATAAGTGCCAGCATTCTGGCCATTTCAGGAGACCTTTACTGACTGACAAACAGGTCTCATTACACAAATTAGTCAATCCTTTTTATCCATCAGTACAGTGGAATTGCTTATCATAATTTCAATGTGGCTAGTCTACATTTGCTGCACGGATAAAAGAAACAGAATAAGAATTCCAGTGAGGTACATTTGCAATAAAATCCCCTCAAATGAACCTGTCTGTCCATGTGGGAAAAAAAAAAATCTTTGCAATTTGACTGAATTTTGAAGATACTTACTGGAGGAAAAGTCTGATGATTTTCACACAAACATATTCTCGAGTGGAGCTGTTTTTCAGACTCAATTCTTTTACAGGTGGGCAGATATAAAAATAGCCCCATTCAAACAATTTCCCGAAAAATGGTGCATAAGAGGTGTAGCAGTAAAACTGACATCCTACCTGTATACCAAGGATAACCAACTTAAATAATGGAGCAGGCCACAATTTTTCATCTGCGGTAATGGGGGGCTAGATCGTACCACCCACTTTCTTACCGGGAATGTCTAGTGTTGAAGGGCGATATTACTACAATCAAATTTACAGTGGACCCCCGCTATTCGAAGGGATGGGGGGCGGGACAGTCCTAGAATAGCAAAAATCTGCATGTAACTGATGCCCATTGAAATGCATTGGCGGGAGAGGATGTTTATGACTATGTGAGACATGGGAGGGACTCCAGGAGGAGGTATTTTGATGGACAAGACTGTCACTATACTAATTTAGTGACTATTATGCCTGGGTGCCTGGGTTTTTGGTCATCCCACAGGGTTTTAACCCAAAAGACCTGGTTGGTTCATATCAAGGTTTGCGGGTACTGGTCTTCAAAGTGCCGTGACAAATCAGAGTTGCATAGACGCAGCCGCGGGGATTGTGTGTTTTGTAACACCCACCCTTTTCTCAGAGTTTTTGCACAAACATCTTAGCTCAGTCAGTCACTCTGCCTGCCACTCTGCGGCTGCCTCCTCTCCCACTCACTCTGTTGTCCCTTGAAACATGACACAAGCTTTTAGTGTGACCAGCCCATGATTGGCTTTGGTTCCTTAAGTACCACTTCTCTTGTGATTTGCTATTGTTCAGCCTATGCTGAGGAAGTGGGTCGTCGTTGAGTTCCTTTTTCACAAAAGCACAAACATATCCACGTAAATTTGGCTAAATTGAAGGCAAATTAGTTTGTTCTGTAGGTGGACGTTAATTAAGGGTGCTTAATTTTGAGCCTACTCTTAACCATTGCACCCTGAAAATAGAGAAATTAAATAACTCCATTTTTGTTGTTTTTCTTCCAGCCTGTGATTGAGTTGTATAGAAGAAAGTGACGCCATTTGTGTGCTGGAGTGTGAATGTGTGTGTGTGTGTTAGGGGCGGGTAGGGGTGGGGTAGTCATCGGTTTTTGTGAGTCTTAGGCAGTATGTATTTTCCTTGGCGTACCCGTATCTGATGTCCATCCATCCATCCATCCATTTTCTAATCCCCTGAGAGGAACGCTCGAAATTGTCCCTGGGTCTGATTGTCAGCACAAATGGTTATTTGCCTATGTGTGCTCTGTGATTGGCCAGTAACCAATTCAGGGTGGACCCTGCCTAATGCCCGAAGACAGCTAGTATAGGCTCCAGCATGCCCACGACCCTTGTGAGGATAAGCGGATTAGAAAATGGATGAATGGATCGAAAAAATAAATAAATAAAATTGAAACAGCAGAATTTCATGATTGGGTATGAAAGGAGCATCCCCGAAAGGCTTAGTTGTTTCCATGCAAGGATTCACCACTCTATCAACAACCGTCCAACATTTGTAAACATACGGTTGGGAGGAATTTTGTGATTTCATCATTTAACGTCGAGGGAATTTGGAGAAATATCTGCAAGTATGGGGCAAGGCCAAGCACCAACATTGAATCCCTGTGACCTTTGAGCCCTCAGGTGGCATTGAAATAAAAACTTGCATCGTGTGTAAATGATCTTGCAAAATAGGCACAGGCACGCAGGAGATCGCGAGCGCATACCCGAGCGCATTGCCTCTTCACTCGTATTTTGAAAAAAATCCTCCTCTCACTCTCTTTGGAAGCACTGGGTTTACTTGGTCCCCTAATCATTTTTATATTTTATTATTAAGGTTAGAGTAGGTGAAATAAATTGGAGGCTAACAGGCAACTGCTAATTTGCTTTAGTTTTGCTACATCAATCAAGTGACACATTTCACATTGGATGATAGGCAGCTATCTACGTTTTTTTGTTTGTTTTGTTTTGTTTTTTTTTACTCATTCACAGCCATTGACAGGCAGCTATATCAATCACGTAAAACTGGGTGGGCTGGCTGAGTTAATGCCATGCGATCGAACCACACGCTCTTGGCGAACAACTGGTCATTTGCGATTGACGTAATGGGCACCCCTGTTGTACATCAAGCACAAGCATTTGAGACGGCCTTCCACCCCGATCATATGTGTCAGTGTGTCTTCCCAACATACATTAGTAGCCTTCGACTGTAAATAACCAATTGTGTCTTTGCTCTTTTATTCAGGTTGGGTTCCCTCCCCGTAGGCTGCCCATCCTAACCTACAGTACCCATCTGACTACAGATGTTCTTCATGTTGACCCGAATTAAAGCACAACACACTTCATAGACGTAAGTAAACTTAACATACAAGTTCTTGTCACTGTTTTTTTTATTTCCCTCTTGGCCAGACTCATGTATTAATGGCTTAATGTACATCAACTGTTGTATCCTATGAAGCATGGAGGAGGCTCTGTAATGTTCTGTTTCCACTTTGTAACATCTGCCACTGTGTGTCTTGAACCTGGACGGGATTCTATGAAATCTCAAGATATTAGGAGCATTGGTCGCGAGTCATTTCTCGGTTGACTTCAAGCAAAATGCGGGCTACACCGTGAACTGGTGGGCAATCATAGGGCATATATAAAGACAGAAAAGCTTTCATTTACATTGTTCCTGAGTGGCAAATGGATCCACGCTGCCTATGCGGAAGTCAGTCGAGAAAACCATTACATCGGTGACTTTCACCTTACTCAGCACTTTCCTCCAAGATTCACTCTTCATCAAGATATGGATCAATGTTGTAGTTCCAGTAGGAATATCACTTAAACACCAATGTCTCCGCAGCAGAAATGATGACCCAATTCAAAAGGGCTTTGACCTTTTACAAAGTGCTCGTGCTTGTTTTCAAATGGATTTTTTTTAATCATTTTCAATTTTCTTCGGTCAGCAAGCTCGTTTTCAAGGTGCCTATTTATTGATGACAAGACAAAATATATTTATCTTTCCTTTTGCCAAAATTGTTTCAAGCCTGAAGCTAATAAAATGCACATTGACCTACCGGTACTTGGAATACCGATTCTTTATCGAACCAAGCTCACCATGGTTCCATCAAAAAAAATTCACACATATCCAGAACCAATTCACAACACATCCGCATAAGTTTTGCTGAGTTTAATTGACTCAATATAACTCCGATGGTACCCTTGCTCCAGCCCTCACTTTTGAACCCAAAACATGTTCTCATCTGTTATCTCATCGATGTCATCATGCCAATACTTGGGGTGTCACTTACCATATCATGCATATTCAGTGAAGGGGAATTATGCCCAAGACATTTTCCTTCTGGCGCAGCTATCATATTTCAACATAAAAACGGAATTTTGTGATAATAATAACATGCATACACTCGCATGCAAATGTGGTTTAAATTTACTTGATGCCCTGCTCTCAATGATTATGTGCTTGGAGATATTTATCAAACAGGCACACCTGCTTGGATGAGAAATGTGCCTGTCAGCGATGTTACACCACAAATTTCATCCCCAAATAGCTTCACTTTCAAAATGTCATTACACAGCTTTCGAGTGGGACCGTTCAAGCAAATGAGACATTATTTGTAAAACAGATTGTCTTCCCACGGCACAACAAGCAATGGTTTGCACCACACATTTCATAATAAATTCATGACGGTCAAATTCACACCAAAGACAAATATAGGACTGATAGTTTTGCTGAGAAATACGCTTTGAACATCATTTATTTATAATTGGATTTAAAGTCAGTTGATCAAGGTTTGGTATCTAATCACACTTTATTGTAGAAGAAACATGCATTTCGATTGTGTCATTTCAAGGACATTGTCTTACCTTGTTGTCCGGTTCAAACTGGTTTTTATGTAATTATTATTTTTAAATATAATTTTCTCTTTTTGGACAAACCCAAACACTTGTTGAATGCTGATAAACATTCAGTATACATTATATATTTTTTTATGAACACCTGGAGCTAAATGTGGAACAAAACAAAAAAATCCGGAAGAAAAGAAATAAAAACAAAATATGATAAAATATACCCGAATTTATTTATTGATTTTACAGAATATTATGCAGGACAAAAATAGAACCTCAATATTAAATGTGAGTGGATTTTTGTGAAAACATGCACACAATTAATTTCTTGCACGTAATCTTGGTTTGCCGTTCGGCAGTTTTGTGCTATCCTGGAATGGTCATTTTATCCCCTGATTTCTGTTCACGTGTGTTGTGATGGAAGTGACTGCAGCAACATGATGGGATTTAAACTAGTGCCGTGCAGCTTGCCTCCATGTATGCTCGCATGTTTGGATAAACAAAAATGTCATTGCATGTTATTAGAAAGGTAAATCGCTTCAATGGTTTTCAATTACCCAACATGAACAGCGAATTAAAAAAAAAAAGTAGAACAAAGAAGCCATATAATTCTCACCGAAAACCATCGTATCCATTTTTTTCACGGCAATACAAGCATTTTAGCATATGAAGGCCATTGAATACCTCATGAGCCAACTGTCTGTATGCTTTTACATCGGGATCCATTTCAAGCAAAGCCCAAGCATGTGTTGTTTTGTGCATGTGTCTGCGTGACAGAATGAATGATCATGTGGTCTTTTAACTTGGATGGAGTGTGAGATCAATTCTCTACAGCGTCACCTGCAAACAGAGTCCCTGAATGGAGATATCTTAACGTGATGACTGCCAAGCGGCATCGTTATCTAACCTGTTTTCCTTTTGGTTTTCGCTTCATTCTGAGTTCTCTATGCTCTCGTTACAGCTTGTCCTTTTCACTGGTACCCTTTTCCATATTCTATTTCCACTTTTACGTTTATTACACCCCCCTATTCATTTTTAGATGTTATCATTCCTCCCTAATCGCCATAATCACTGAACAGCTCACAATTGCTCTATGCAAAATTAAACGCATCAGTCACATCTCAACCTTTTAAACACTCGGTGAATACGCAGACCCAAGAGGGTCAAGAGGAGACAATAAAGTACAGCTAGCTGTCCAAAAGTGGAAAATGTAGGCCTGTACTGAAACAATCAAGTAGTCAGACTATAATAACCTGAAAAACTAATTTCTCTACATGCCGATGAAGCCAAATCTGCATAAAAGGTCACGTATTTTCATTGTTGTTAACAATTGTGTTTTCCTAATCCTTCAAACCACCAGTGCGTTCTCTGGTGTACCAGTTGTCAACTGTTTTCCCAGCTAAATATGGGCAGGAGGTAGAGTACATCCCGGACTGGCCGACAGTTAATCGCAGGGCCCGAGCAGACACAACATGGGAGGATGCTGAAGAAGCCGGTGATAACCAGCTCAACTCAACTCAACTGTGATTCAAGAGCAATTTAAAACAATTACCGCTGCATACAAAGTGCTGTACATGGAGCAAAAATAATTCATACAACAACAAACAAAACAATCAATTAATAACAAAGCACAAACACAATAAAACAAACAAACAAACAAAAAAATCAAGTTTCATGCTGAGTCAAAAGCCAATGAATAAAAATGAGCTTTGAGACGAGTTTTAAAGATGGGCAGCGATGGGGGGCTTACCGAACCTTCAGTGGGATGTCATTCCAAAGAGCAATGCAAAAGGCTTGATCCCCTCTGTGCTCATTTTATTCATAGTACACATTTCTATTCAATGACATCCTCACTTTTGATATTTAGGTGGTTTGATATCTTTTTTTTTCTACCTCATGGAACTTAGTTATTATGATTCCAGCTCTTGGACAGCAGTGATGCAGGTTTGGCCACCATGTGCATGTGTGATTTTGCTCTCCGCGCTCCAAGGAATACTCAGATAGTTTGCGTGAATGCTCGTAGGCATGGAAAGTTGGAGATTACACAGCCCAGTACACAAAAACCTCACAGCTAATTCGTCGCTTTTCGAGCATTTATGTGATAAGGAAAATAATCTTTGAAAGATAGACATCAGTATGCTTCATGGTCACTCGTTTGTAAACCTCAAGGACGCAATTTTTGAAAAATACTGCAAATAAAAAGTTCATACAGCAACGAAAAGCAGTTACAAATTCTTTTGAATTTTCAGGAGTGATAGTGAATACAGATTCGACATTTCTCCTCGGTTCATAGTGCAAACAAATGACAACTGTGGGGATGTTAATTCTGTGGTCTGTGGTGGTTATGCTCATAACCATTATCACACTGCAACATAGATCCTATTTAGCATTAGAATTCAAGCAAGCAGACACTAGGTGTAATTCTCTTTGTTTTATGTTTAGTTTGATCGTAAACTCCAGCTGGGAGTGGCAATAAACAGACTGAAGTCTCTTTTTTGGGGGGGGGAGAATTATTTACTAATTGATGTGTTCTATGAAGTTAGTTGAGTGGAGTTCATGCCACCATACCACCATACAGCAGCCATATCGCAAGTCTGCGCTCGCAAATCAAAGCAAGAAAAAAAAAAAGGTTGAATGACAGCTCTTATCTTGAAAAACTCATCAGCGGAGTCAATATTTTGGGGGAATTCAAAGTACACAATATCAGACCGATTGTATCATTTTTGAATGTGTGATATGTGCAAAAATAAAGCATGTGTAGCATATTCACTCACATGCTTTAGAACTTTACAATGTTTACACACATTGCTAAACATGAGCTGCTCTGTGGCACTTTCACCATGTGTAAAAGTAGCTCACAGAAGATAAAAGGATCGAGACCTCGGCAACAGAACATGGACTGGCAAGCATTGTTGCAGTGTGCTGGCATCACCTCATTATGTACTGTACTGGCAGGACGATTTTAGAAAGATGATGCACTGACAACAGTGTTGGATGGAAATGGCACAAAAAGTCAGCTGACTATTTTGGAAGGTACAGAGTGAAACAACAAGAGTGGCGTAGTGCAAGATCATGTTTGTTTGGTTTGGATGTCTTTTATAGTCAAGGTGAAGGTTTGTGTGAACAACTCTGTTTATCAGCCCCTGCGCGTTTACATGGGGATTTGTTTGAACCATTGTGTGTGCGTGCGTGTGTGTGTGTGTGTGTGTGTGTGTGTGTGTGTGTGTGTTTGTTTG